CGGGCTGCTTCGTGCTCTGACTGGGGGCTGCTGGGAGCAGGGGGTGGGGCTTGTTGCATATGCCCACCCCCTGGGCTCTTTACTGCCGGAGCTCTTCTCCTGTGCGCTCCTGCAGGAAACGACCCCTGGAGCTGCCAAGCCCCGCCCTCCCCGCCACCAATCTACCGTAGAGTTTCTGCCCAAATGCCAGAACATCCTGCCTCGTTGGCAATGTAATGACATCACTTCCTGTGTGTGCCGGAAGTGATGTCACTGCGACATCTGGCTAGGTGTTTCCCCTCCTGCCGGTAAGCCCCCCCCCCAAAACACCATTTACCAGGAGGTAACCCTGGTAACCCTAGCTCAAAGGGAGGTTATTTACCAGATTATGTTATCTACCTCCAATGCCAAGGGGAGTTTCATTTCCGCCATTCCACACACGGAAGACCAAGGCTCCCTCTGAGCTGTGGAGTCCTGTGAGCGAAAATCCTCCTTTGTGACCTCCTGACATCAAAGTTGTGAGCGAGCCATTTGGCCGCCACATAAATTCGTTTGCTCTGGTGCCGTTCCTTCCTGAGGCAAGACAGAAAAGGTGTGAGCCGGAGGCTAAAAAGCTGTGAGCTGGCTCACGCTAGCTCAGCTTAGAGGGAACACGTCTGAAGAGGCAGGACATTTTCCTCCAGGTCTGTTGTAAAATAGGTGAATTTATTTTTTCCCCCCAAGAGTTTTGCCCCCAAAGCAAAGATGCCACTTTTGGGTGGCGTCAGTGTGCTGCACAAGGCCCCACTCACTCCCAGGGCTAAGGTTACCGGGGGGACCTGGTAACCCTAGCCCACTATTAAAGGAACAGGACATTTTTCTCCACTCCTATACGCAGGGTTGCCGAACTCCAGGTGGGGCCTGAAGTCCTCCTGGAATCACAACCGATCTCTGGGCTACAGAGACTGGTTCCCCCTGGAGAAAATGGCCGCTTTGGAAAATGGTGGCCTCTGCTGAGGCCCCTCCGCTCCCAAAACGCCACCCCTCCTCAGCCTCCATCCCCAAATGTTTAGGAATTTCCCAGTCTGGAGTTGGCAACCCCATCTGTTGACAGCCTTAGTTGTTAACTGCCTGGGCGGGGGGAATGAATTGTACCAGATTATGTTATTTACCTCCAATGCCAAGGGGAGTTTCATTCCCCCAATTCCACACACGGAAGACCAAGGTTCCCTCTGAGCTGTGGAGTCCCTGTGAGCAAAAATCCTCCTTTGTGACCCCCTGACATCAAAGTTGTGAGCGAGCCACTTGGCCGCTACATAAATTAGTTTGCTCTGGTGCCGTTCCTTCCTGAGGTAAGACAGAAATGTGTGAAAGGAAAGGAGATTGTAAGCCGCTCTGAGACACCTTCGGGTAGTGAAGGGCGGGGTATAAATCCAATCCTCTTCTCTTCTCTAATAAATGTTATTGAGCTCCATGCTGCGGAAGGCTTCAACTGCCCGTTTTCACACCTTAAACCTCTATTAAAAGGTCAGAACTTTTTTTCCCTCCAGGTCTGTTGGCAACCCTACTTTTCATGGATTTGACTAGGAAGCGAGACGGTTGCTTGTTATCTTTTCCAAATTCAGCCTCTATGAATTGCTCGTTACCTCATGTTCCAAGGAAGCAACTGTTACCATAAAAAGAACGCCGAGTGAAGAAAATAGCAAACGGCACACCCGAAGGATAATCCTCCAACTTAGTCAGCTTCATACCAGTCATGCTTTTCTAACTTTAACTTGATTTTGGCTCATTATTTGTAATCTTTCTAGCCCACCCTTCCCTGGTAGAACCACCTCCAGTTCGATGTAGACAATACGAGGTTTGGAGGAGGGATGTTAACACTCCCACTTGGTTTGGCTCACAATCTGCTCGCCGATCATGAACTGGGAGCTGTTTTTTGTCTAGCAGTTGATCAGTTTGTGAGCAGGTAGAACCCTTTTGGCGGATTACTTTCCATGTATTCGGACAGGACAGGACAGTGCCCTTGGCAGCATATCACGTATGCACATTCTCACTGACCTATCTTTCCTGTATGCCACTTGACAGCCAACTATATAGATCAGGAGTCCAAAAATGTTGCCCCACTGACACCTTTCCTGGCACCTACCAAATGTTTTATAAAGTGGGCAGGGCCCGGTGGAGCTTTGGCCCAGCAAGGCTTTTGAAGAGCGATTGGAGGTTTGATTGGCTGTAAAACCTGGTAGCAGCTGCCACCAGAGCACAAGAATCTTCACAGTGTGACTGAAGGTAAGCTGTGGCAGCCATTTTGCAAACAGCTCCACCTCCTGCGACAGCCATTTTTGTGGCTGCGCTCACCACGCTATGTCAGAATTCCTAAAGTGCCCACAGGCTCAAAAAAGTTGGGGACCTCTGGTTTAGAGGAAGACTGAGCAAAGTTAAGGCCCCTCTGGTTTGGGCTATACAGGACTGGTTTGAAACCCCCCACATAGTGCAGATTTGAAACAGGGTCTCCCAAGTCTTAGCCGGACTTTCTAACCAGTAGGCCGCCCTGGTACAGCCAAAATGGCGGTACCACATTGCTTCCTCACACAGCACAAGAGGCCCTATTACAATCCCACAATACCTCACTGCAGCAAAGGCAAAAACAGGGGGCATATTTTCTGACGGCAGCTTTACGGCAAGAAGCCATTTACTCAGAAGTAAGTCCCATTCAATACCGTGGCTCTGCTCAGTTCATTCGAGGTCCGCTGTTTTTCTCACAGATAAACACACACACACACCCAGGTTCCGGTATTTCCAGTTTGGTGTAGTGGTTAAGTGCGTGGACTCTAATCTGGGAGAACAGAGTTTGATTCCCCACTCCTCCACTTGCACCTGCTGGATGACCTTGGGCAAGCCATAGTTCTGACAAGAGCTGTCCTTGAAAAAGAGCAGTTTCTGTCAGAGCTCTCTCAGCCCCACCTACCTCACAGGGTGCCTGTTGTGAGGAGGGGAAGGGAAAGGAGTTTGTGAGCTGCTCTGAGACTCCTTTGGGGAGTGAAGGGCCATGGGGTATAAATCCAATATCATCTTCTTCTTCTTTTACCTCACAGGGTGTCTGTTGTGGGGAGGGGAAGGGAAAGGAGTCTGTAAGCCGCTCTGAGACTCCTTCGGGTAGTGAAGGGCGGGGAATAATCCAATCTCTTCTTCTTCTTCTTCTTCTTCTTCTTCTTTTACCTCCCAGGGGGTCTGTTGTGGGGAGGGGAAGGTAGAGGAGTTTGTAAGCCGCTCTGAGACTCCCTTGGGGAGGGAAGGGTGGGGAATAAATCCAATCTCTTCTTCTTTTAAAAGGAGCAGACCCAGAGGTCAAACGTGGCTGAAGTAAAGGCAGGGTTTAAATGCCCTGACCTTTGACCCCCCGCCGGTGTGGGACTGAGTGTCCTAGGGTTGTCAGTCTCCACCTGGGGCTTGGAGATCTCCTGTTATCATGATTGATCTTCGGAATACAGAGATCAGATCCCCTGGAGAAAATGGCTGCCTTGGAGGGCATTGTACCCTGTTGAATACAGAGATCAGATCCCCTGGAGAAAATGGCTGCCTTGGAGGACATTGTACCCTGTTGAGGTCCCTTCCCTCCTCAAACCCCGCCCTCCCTAGGCTCCACCCCCAAATCTCCAGGAATTTTCCAAGCCAGAGCTCGCAAACCTAAGAACATAAAAGAAGAGCCCTGCTGGATCAGACCAGCGGTCCCTCTAGTCCAGCCTCCCGTCTCACACAGGGGCCAGCCAGGTCCTCTGGAGGGCCAACAACAGGGCAGCGAGGCCGAGGCCTTCCCCGGAGAAGAACCTCAGAAGAGCCCTACTGGGTCAGACCAGGGAGGGTCCCTCCAGTCCAGCCTCCCGTCTCACACAGGGGCCAGCCAGGTCCTCTGGAGGGCCAACAACAGGGCAGCGAGGCCGAGGCCTTCCCCGGAGAAGAACCTCAGAAGAGCCCTACTGGGTCAGACCAGGGAGGGTCCCTCCAGTCCAGCCTCCCGTCTCACACAGGGGCCAGCCAGGTCCTCTGGAGGGCCAACAACAGGGCAGCGAGGCCGAGGCCTTCCCCGGAGAAGAACCTCAGAAGAGCCCTACTGGGTCAGACCAGGGAGGGTCCCTCCAGTCCAGCCTCCCGTCTCACACAGGGGCCAGCCAGGTCCTCTGGAGGGCCAACAACAGGGCAGCGAGGCCGAGGCCTTCCCCTGAGGTTGCCTTTTGGCTCTGGGAGTCAGAGGCTTCATACTAGTACTCAGACCTCGTACTCACCCAGCAAAGGAGTGCAGGGGTGCTCAAGAGCGCCTGTTATTGCTTTAACATTCCCACACACCCGATTTAAAAGTAAGCCCTGCCAGACTCATGGCCTTTCCTCCCACTTCCCCAGGTGGACTTTGAAGACGTGATCGCCGAGCCCGAGGGCACCCACAGCTTCGACGGGGTGTGGAAGGCCAGCAACACCACCTTCACCGTCAGCAAATACTGGTGCTACCGGATCCTCTCGGGGGCGCTGGGCGTCCCGCTGGCCTTGCTCTGGGGCTTCCTCTTCGCCTGCGTCTCCTTCTGCCACATCTGGGGGGCCGTGCCTTGCATCAAGAGCTACCTCATCGAAATACAGTGCTGCGGGCGCTGCTACGCCCTGTGCATACGCACCTTCTGCGACCCGCTCTTCGAAGCTGTGGGCAAGGTCTGCAGCGATGTCCGGGTCGCCCTGCGCAAAGAACGTGCCAAGGACTGAAGCGCTGTCTCGGTCTGGGACAGGACTCCGGTGGGTGTCTTCCTTCTCTCGCCTCCCCAAGCTGGGCGAGGGTCAGTCCTGGCCTCTGAAGTGAAGCTCGAAGGGGGGAGCCGCTCCCCTGGTGAAGTCCACACTCTCCCCGTCCTGCGAACCCCTCCTTTCCCCTTTTGCATATCCAGGGCTGATCCAAGACTTTTCCAGAATGCACAACCAGACGCCAACGATGTGGTTCAAGGGGAAGAAGAACGCGCAGTTCCAAAAGAACCTTTCGTGCAATTACAAAATTCAAGTCATGCGAAAGTTCTGTTATGTCGTAGACATGCCTGTCGTGCATGGAATCGTGTGTCGCAGCGCAGTTCCAAATCTTCCTTTTCAAAAGCCATGCAGAAGTGAAAAATTCAAATGGTACCCCCCCACACCATTAGCCTGCAGATTAATTTCCTGTGGGCAATTCTCCTCCATGAATCCCATTCTCCATTCATGAGCCACATTTGCTTCAAGTGTGGGAGACTTTCCCAAGAGAGGGCTTTCCCCACATTCTCCTTTCCTCTCTTGTAAGGTTCCTGTTTCTTCAGGGGCATTTTCTGTTCTGCACCCTCTAGTGGTCGATTTGATATTACACTGGTTTGTGTCCGGCATAAAAACATGCCGCTTGAAACTGCATGGACATATGCTGGAAATCAACCAGTGTAATATTGATTAGACCACTAGAGGGAGCAAAACACATACAGAACAGGAAACACCCCCCTCAAAGAAACAGGAAACAAGGAAAACGAGAACACGAAAAAAGCCCAGAACCTGCCCCATGTATTTATACCAGTTTTTCCCATTCTGCCATCCTGAATGGAGTTCCCCATCAGTTACCCGTATTAGCCATAAGATCATCTCAGTGTATACAACAGGGGCAGTACTGGGTGAGAGATGATCATGTAATTTCCCCCAGTGTTTTGCCCCAAAGTCCGTTCTCTTCTAGGGTAAACACCTGCAGCTCAGATCCCTCTGTCTCAAATCATACTATCATGCTAGGGCCGCGGTAGCTCAGAGGTTAAGAAGCTTAGCTGCAGACCGGGAGATCTGTAGCTCAGCTGTTCGAGACCCAACTGCCGCATGATGGGAGTGAGCTCCCGTCTCTGGCCCCAGCTCCTGCCAACCTAGCAGTTTGAAAGCAAGAAATTGCAAGTAGATAAATAGGTGCCGCTTCGGTGGGAAGGTAACAGCGTTCCACGTGCCTTGGCGTTGAGTAATGCCAGTCACATGATCACATAAAAAGTCTTCGGACAGCGCTGACTCTTCGGCTTGGAAACTGAGATGAGCACCACCCCCTAGAGTCGGATTCGACTGGCTTTCGAGCAAGGGAAACCTTTACCTATCGTGCTACCTTTGAAAAGTGAGATTGTATATTGGTGCTGCTCTTTCCCAGCAGGGAAACCACAGCACTATGACAGCCACATCTATACTAAATGGCGGGAGGGGAAGAGTGAGGTAGCAGCAAAGCAAACACCAGCTGCCTCCTCCCACCCAGGGTCACCAGCTCTTGGGGGTGGATCCTGGGGAGGGGAGGGTTCGGGATGGGAAGGGAACTCAGCAGGATATTGTGTCGTAGGATCCACCTTCTAAAGCAGCCATTTTCTCCAGTGGAACTGAAATCTGGAAATCAGTTGTAATCAGGAGTCATTTCCTGCAGGAGCGCACAGGAGCGGAGCTCCGGCAGTAAAGAGCCCAGGGGGCGGGCACATGCGACAAGCCCCACCCCTGCTCCCAGCAGCCCTCAGTCAGAGCAAGAAGCAGCCAGGTAAGTTGCAGAGCCCCCCTAGCCCAAAACAGTCCAGTGGCACCTTTAAGACCAGGTTTTATTCAGGTACAAGCTCTCCCTCCTCTGTGAGGACAGATCTGCACGTTCCTCCCCCCCTCCAAATACTAACATGGTGAATAGTAGAAAAGCAATAAAAAGTCCTAACTGAACAGCAGTTAACCTACGGGAGGTGCCACAGAAACTAAAACAGTAATGTTCACACAAGGTTCAAAATAATGATTACACAATGCAGCAAAAATGTTTGAATAAGGAAATCAACAAAATGTCTGGGAAAATAAGGATGTCTTCAGCGGGTACCAAAATCTTATCAGAGTTGGACGTAGCTTAAGTAGCACAGAGAATGATGAACCACATCACAGATAAGACCAGGGCTATTTTTGGGCAGGAACGCACAGGAACGGAGTTCCGGCTGGCTCCCAAGTTGGCCACGCCCAGCAGGAACTCATTAGCATAATAGGCCACACCCAACAGCAGAAACTCATTAGGATTGGCTACATTAGGGGTGTGTGGCCTAACATGCAAAGGAGTTCCTGCTACAAAAAAAGGCCCTGGGTTTTGACAACAAGCAAGGTAAACAGAATAAGAAGGGAAAGGTGGGTGTGGCTGGATGACCACACTCCTGGTAACGTGGGGGTGCGGCCTAATATGCTAATGAGCTGTGCTGTCAGGGGCGTGTCCCAATGTGCTAATGAGTTTCTGGTGTTGGGTGTGGCCTATTATGCTAATGAGTTCCTGCTGGTCTTTTTCTACACAAAGAGCCCTGGTTGTAATTCTGGGAGATCTCCAGGGCCTGCCGGGAGATTGGCAACCCCAATCCCAGCTATTAGCCTCAAACCTTATGTCGCTCTGGGTGCTATTCCAAAAAGGGACACACACACACACATTTTATTTTCCTGTATGGTTTTTGGTTGACGGTCCAAAGCTCACACGTGGACGGAGGAAGAAACGGCAGTCTTTATCTCCCCAAATCGTCAACACCGCCCAAATCAGTATCGGTTTTTGCTTGGAACCATTCTGCACTGTACAAAAATAAAGCCCAAGCGATTCTTCAGTGCCTCGTTTATTCTGTATAAAAATCCGTTCCGGCGCAGGCCCCGTAGCCAGGAGTTTTGAATTTGGGGGGGCTTTAAATAAGGGGGCACCCCGCGCACACCCCCAAAGGGAGCGCCACAAATAAAATAAAAAATTGGAAGTTGGGGGGCGTGGCAGATAAGTCGGGGGCCAGGCCCCAGGATGCCCACCCTGTAGCTACGGGCCTGTTCTGGCGGCTTCTCTCTGCGGAGTTGACAAATCCATTTTGGTTTGAGAGACGGAAGTACACCGGAGGCAAAGAGATCCTGAACGCAGAATCGATCCCGTTAATTGAGTCAATAACCAGGGCTGTGCGGATGCAGCGATTCTGCGGGATTGTTTATTACTGAAAACGTTTTTATGTCGCCTTGTCGCCTTTCAACCAGTGTTTCCTCTAAGCTGAGTGAGTGCAAGCTAGGTCACAGTTTTTTAGCCTCCGGCTCACACATTTTTGTCTTCGCTCAGGAAGGCTGGCTCCAGAGCAAGCTAGTTTATGCAGGAGCCAAATCGCTCGCTCACAACTTGAATGCCAGCAGCTCACAAAGTGGAGTTTTTGCTCACAAGACTCCACAGCTTAGAGGGAGCATTGCTTTCAACCCAATCAGGGTCCACGACTCATTGAATGGGGGGGAGGGGGGAATCCAGCAATGAAAAATGCAGGAGAAAGTATAACATAATTCAATTAAAAACACATAAAAAAACACCAGCAGGAGGGCCGGTAACCGTTATTGGGGGCTTGCTCAACAAGACAAAGCCAAGTTGCCACCTGCTGCTGAAAGACACCAATAGAGGGTGTGGCGGAACGGGCCCGCGTCAGCTGGCAGACCCCGCTCTGCCCACCCCTCCTTTGCCTGGCCTGGCACCTGAAGGGGCAGTTTTTCACCACTGCCTCTGGGTATTGCTGCCACCACTGTCCCTGTCTTGGGCTCTGGTTAGGCGGGACAGCCTCCTAACCTCCCTCTGCTGTTGCTAGGAACCCACCTCGGGGCTTCCTGGTAATCTTTGGGGCTCCCCTGGAGAGTTGGCAACTGACCGTTTTGCCCTTGTTCTCCTCCTCAGGGAGT